TTGAAAGAGTATTCAATATGACAGAGCTTAAATTGTATCCTTCACAGAAACTATGTGAGCCTACCTGTATACTGCCACTCGACTCTCATCTTGATAGCAATCATATCAGCTCCTCTGCTTGAAGGATTGTATAGGCTCTTGTCATGAAGTGTCGAGAGAAAAGCTGCATATAAGAAGCCACAAAGGGGATGGAGAGATTGCTCAGTGGTTAAGAACACTGGCTGCTGTTGCAGAGGACCTGATTTTGATTCCCAGCATGCCACACAGTGGCTAACAACCGTCCATAACTCCAGTTCAGGGGATCCAACACCCTCCTCTGACCTCTGCAGGCATTGCACGACATGGGTACACTTACATACATTCAGGCAATACACTCATACACAGAAAATAAAAATAAAATACTTTTAAAAAAATGTTGTTCTTACCCTAAATCTTTCTCTAAAGCAGTGCCATACATGTACTTTGTAAACTCACAGCCTCTTGATTTAAAAAAAAAAATGTTTTTACTTAAGTGTAGTGTCCTGGTTCTTTGAGTAAGCCAACCACCTTCCATCTCTGGCTCATTGATAAAAACCCAGACTGAATATTTATGAGATTGCCGCAGAAGCTCTGCAGCCCCCTTGAACTGCAGACTGGCTCTGTGTGATGTGACCAGACTGAGAAGTCAGGAATGACTTGCCCCTCTGTGGAAATGAAGCTGCCTTTTGTTGCTAGTGTCACTTCTCTTCCTTAGCATCAGGAAGTAGCCCATCATTGGAAGGGTGGTCAATGAAAGACCTTCAAAATTATGGAGTGCTACCTACAGTTCTGAGAATCAAGGGTATTTTGCAAGTAAGAAGTTTACAATTAACAATTTAAAATTCATAGAAGTACCCACAGGAAAGCATAGCAATATGCATTTAGGGAACACCCATAATAAATCAGCCAGTGCTCTTTGTGGGAAGCTAGGAAAATTCTTATGTTCTTAATGCAGTGCTGAGCACAGCATAAGTGCTCAAAAGGCATCATTATTGTTGTTATGCTTAAAGGTATACTAATTGACACACAGATACTTCATAAATGGTTCAAAAGATTCCGTCCATCCTTCAGAATCACCCTGGATACTGATCTCCTAGAAATGCACCAAATCGTCTGAAACACAAACTAACACTTAGAAAAAAATAATTACTTGAGCATAAGAAATAAAAGTTCCTTCAGAGATTGCAGCCCTCCAAGGGAAACTTGTGGCCCCTGTGAGCAGTGGTTGTATGTGGATCATATCCCAAAGGCTCATGCTCTACGTGATACTAGAGTTTTTGAAGGGTTTTGAAACATGGCAACTCTGGTAGAAGCCAGAACCATCTTTGGAGCCATATTATTTAATCAACAAGTATGGGATCCTCCAATTAGGAATCTCAACCCATTCTGAAAATTTACTGCACACTTCTCAGCCATTGCTATCTACAATCACCTTCCAAGTTTGAAATTTACCTGATCTTTCTTTTGTACTTGCATAAATCTTAAAGCATCACTGACTGATCAAGTTTGAGGCAAAATAAATAAATCAGGCTACTGTGAGGACATCAGTTTGGATACCTAGAAACCAGGTAAAGGCAGATGTGGTAACACACATCTGTAATGCCAGCACATGCCTGGCATGGGAGGTGGGAACAGGAGAGTCCCCAGAAGCTCGCAGGCCAGCCATTCCAGTATTCACAGAAGCCAACAGCAAGAGAGCCACTCTCAAATAAGGTGGACCATGAGGACCCACATCAGAAGTTGTCCTCTGACCTCCACACACATACCGCATTCACACACATGAATTCATGCACACACCTGAACATGCACACACACACTGTACACACACAGTCTTTAAAAGAGTAAAACCATGTAATCAAACTTCGTTACTAATACCAAATTAAGCACTGCTTCTTTGCATACATTAGAGAAGTTAGATTTGATGTGGATAAACCCTAATAACTCTTCTACCAGAAAATTCCTTCCAGTTTTAAGTGAGTGATTATTTGTTGATGTAAAGAAAAAGATTAGCTTCTTGAGCGAGCATGTCTTTTCATATTTTGATGTCCTCTGTTTTATTTTCTTAACTGCCTGAATGTTTCCTCTGAGCTGGACTTAGACTCTGCCTTGCTGTGGTCCCCTCCATCACACCTGTCCCAGTCAATCTGGCAAAACAGGACTTAGCTTCTTTTCATTTTGCTATTTTAAGCCACCACTGGGCACCAGTCATATTTATGGGGCTACACCTTAAAGCTTTTCGCCCAGTAGCCTGCTAGGTGTCCAAAGAACACAGCATGGTACCTGCCACTTAACATAGCATTCCAGATTTTCGTTTTTCACCTATCTGCTATTTGAGCCTCCCAGTGCTCATTTACTCTCATCTTCACTGAGTCATCTTTAAAAATAACTACACTGGTAGGACAAATATTTGAGTATATACAGGATAAACATATGTGTGTTCAGTAAGAAATACTTGTTATGTATTTCTTATTCATTTTTCATTGATGCCAGATTATGAGTACAATGAGATGTGGGCCAAACCTTGAGGAAGGATAGCAAGCTGCTAAATTCGACCCAAATGCAGAATACTAATCGTTCAAAAGAGTTCATAGAAATTTGACAGCACTGGGCTAGAGAGATGGCTCAACCACTAGAGAGTGGTTAAGAACACTTGCTATTCTTCCAGAGCACCCACATGGCAACTAACAACCATTTATAATTTCAGTTCCAGGGGATCCGACACTCTCTTCTGGCATCTGTGGGCATTGCAGGCATGTGGTATACTTACATACATGCCAGCAAAAAAAAAAAAAAACCATACACATAAAGTAAAAATAATAAATAAAAATTTAAAAATAAATTGACAGCATCTCACAAGGGTTCATGAAATGGGAGTTAAAGGTTTACCCAGAGCTTACGTTTCTTCTTTCCTTTTGCTGGGGGTTGAGCCATATGCATGCTAGGCAGGCATTCTACCACTGACTATACACCCAGTCCCATCTTAAGCTTTTGAAGTTAGCTTCACATGCACTTTATGATTCTGCTTGTCCTGGGTTCACCTAAACCCTGAACTCCACATTGTATTGCTCTGGCCCAGTATACTTTTCCCCATCCTTTATGCCCAGAAGAGTTGAAGTAATCCCACATTATTTATACTTAGGGAAAAAAATCTAATCAAAATATATAGTAGTAATAGCATTTCCTAATTATCTGTGCTAAGAAAAGATAATAGACCATTCCAAGTATTTTTGAGTCCTAAGAGTTTCTGTGTCTTAGGTCAGCCTTAATTGAGGAATTACATAAATTAGAACTCACCTTGTTTATTTTTGTTTTTGAGACAGGGCCTCTGTGACCCCGCCTGGCCTTGAACTCTTAGCAATCTTCCTGCATCAGCCTCCAGAATGTGTAGGCTACACATGGGAGCCACCATACCTGGCTCAACACAATCTTCTTGAAAGAATAGTTGGGTGTTAATTAAGATTTGATGTTTTCCTTGGAATTACAAAATGTAGATGAAAATGTTGCATTAAAGAATTTCATTGAAAATTGTTTTTAAACTAAGGCCTGGATCTCTATCCAGGAATACAGAAAAAACAGCCTAGAGTACTCCAGTGGACAGTCTGAGATTTACTTCTGGCTCTGATTTTTTCAAACAGACTGAAGAAACTGGATTCATAAATACTTATAAATAGTTCATAAGTATTCTAATAGACTCATACTCTTGAAGCCCTCTAAAATGGAATTAATAATTCACCTGAAGAATAAATAAAAACCGAATGATAACCTACTTAAGAGATGCTTAGCCCACTGTCTGGCACTATAAAAACTATTTCTCTTCCATGTACATGGGGTTTAAGAAGTGGAAGATTTCTTCCTAGCAGTCCCTCCCTCAAAAGGCTACCTGTTTTCAGTCCCCAACCCACTTTATTAATGGTGCATTTGTTCCTTAATGCAATGATTTTGTTCAACAGCCACACTCCCAGCACCTGGAGAAGTGCTGGAAGGCTGTGAATTCTCCTTAACCACTGGCTACCTGAATGAACTATTCACCATGAGGGTCAGGGACTGTATACACAGTGGGGGGAAAAGACAAGGCCCTTGATACTGTGGAGCTGAGTATAGATGGGAAGGTAACAGTGCAACTGATAGCAATAAAATGTGAAAAAGTGTTAACAACAGAGAAAGAACAGGGCACCCTGACCTCTACCAGAGAGCTGTGGCCCATACAGATAGGGAAGGGATGTCCTTCACACAGTGATAGGTGACCTAGGCCCCAGCCTGCAAGGTGAGCACTTGACCAGTCTGTTACCAGAGAAGGCACATGTGAGGAGGCCTCTTCTCACTTGGTATACAAATAGAATATAACTACTTCCTTATATGTAAAATAAGAACAGTCAATTTAAATTTACCTACCACTTAAACCCAGTTTGGAGCACTCCTGTTTAAGAATTAGGTGCTATTTTAATAGTAAATAACAAGATCTTGTACTTCTGAGCAAGGTAGCTTTTCCAGACATCAGACTTGAACAGAAGGATCATATGAGCTTTGTTTCACCAATAAAAACTTGATGACCTTGAGCATATCTGGTATTTATTAGAGTGATATTTATCAAAATAAGGTTCTACAGTTTGTTAATACAATGATTCCTGTAATAATGTGGTTGTGATTGAAGAAATGAAGAGTTAGATCTGAAAATACAACTTCTGAAAATTTTCAACTCTGCATTTGTAATTTTTCCTTAAAGGAAAGGGTGGGATCCAGAGAGTTCCAGGAAAAAAAAAAAAAAAAATGCAAGCGCTAAGAAAATCCCGTTGAGGGCCGAGCATAGAGCTCAGTTGGTAGAGCATTTGCCTGGATGCATGAAGCCCTGGGTTCACTCCCAGCACTGCAAAGCCAGGCATGGTGGTACACACCTGTAATCCCATGGCTCAGGAAGTGGAGGCAGGAGGATCATTAAATTCAACGTCATCCTCGGCTACATAATTAGAGTTCAAAGCCAACCTGGCCTACATGATAAGATGCTGTCTCAAAACAAAAAGGAAAAAAAGACCTTCATTGAGTGCTTTCCTGAATTTTTCATTGGAGACCCCTTTGTCCTCAAACTCTGCTCTCTAAGTGCTTTGATGAGGAGCTGTTCCTCCTCTTCTAAATCTCAGTCTTACCCCAAGAACAACTATGGTTGTGGTTTCCACTAGCTCCCAACTCCTTGCAGTAACCTGTCCCAATCCAGGCTGTCCATTGTGTGAGGTGAATGGGGTGTAAGTCATTACTGAAAATGGGGTTTGGGTTTTTGGAGGGGTGTGGGGGTGGTTAGACAGGGTCTCACTCTTTAGCCTGGCTAGCCTGCAACTCCCTATGTAGACCAGGCTGGTTCTGAACTCCCAGGTAACTCCTGCCTCCGCCTCTGCCAGAATTAAAAGCATATACCACCACTCCCAGCCTGAAAACATTTTTTAACCTAATTCAAGTCTAAATTCATCTTTAAGTGAAAGTTCAGCCATGACACCATCTAAAAACAGATTGCTATTTTTAGTTCCTACCTTTTGGACTGGCTGTTGTTATTCCTGCCTTAGGAACTGCAGCCATGTTTGCTTGCTTACATTTTTGGTAATTGGTTCTGGTGATAGGTATTTGTAAAGCAACCATACTGACATGGAAACATTGTGCTTGTTTTGTTCTCTTTCCCTTCCAGGGCCCTAATTCAGTCATGATTGTCCTGGTCATGCTGTTGAATATCGGGTTGGCCATTCTTTTTGTTCACTTTCTAACTTGATTGGAATTAGGAAAGGTAAGCATAGCCTTAATTTCTATACAAAATTACAATAATCTTTTCTCGAATTTCAATTTACAATTTTTTAACAATGACATAATGTCCTTCACTTTAATTTTGGCTGTGTCTGAATGTGATTCAATATAGTTACTTAATGTTGTAACTGTTTTGACCCTTCAGTGAAGTCATGACAACTAGTGGTATTGGCCCACAGTTCTGCCGTGGTGTCCTCAGCCCTTTTAATGGCACACCCCAGTCAGACTCAGACACAGGCAAGGAGGCTTGGAATTAGGATGGGATCGCGAGAGAGATGAAACTTGGAAAATTCAGCCAGAGGACCTGTTCAGTTCCCCAGGGAATGCTTTGTGGCTTTGGGGTCCTCTGGGAGCTGAAGCACGCAGCCATGTTGGAGAGCAAAACTTAATAATGATTCTTTTTTAAAATCTGCTGAAGCAGCCCCATCCGGCGAAGTTCTTGGCACTGGCTACTCCATCTGTCCTAGCAGAGTGTGACTAAACTGGAAATGTATGGACCTGCAATTTTTTTTTTTTTTTTTTTTTTTTTTTGATGGAAGTCAACAGCTGCCTTACTATTTTACCATCTGACGCTTTTAGTAGGGAGCTGGGGAGACTGCCGGAGGAATGTGGTCGGAGGATTGTGTTGCTGTGGGCGTGGTTCCAACATTCACTCCTATCTCATTAGAAGAAATAGGTAGCAGCGTCACTCAGCAGTCTTATGCCATGACCTGCTGCTTGAACATCTCCTGGAATGTTCTGGGGGAGAACGTTTCATTTGCTTGTGCACGACTCTGCTCATTTTTGCTGTCTTTTTTAAATATGGTGTATAGTCATCTTCCACCTGCAGTCCTGGCCAGACAAAAACACACAGGTTGCATCTCAAGGAAAAGAAACGACAAAAGACTAGTAAACGTTTATTTTAATAGCAATACATCATTTTCCGTGACGTTTTAGTCTTTCCAAACTTATCAAAGGCTATTTGTCATTAAAATTCAGCAATCTGGAATATATTATGCCTTCCTGAGAAATAATTTAAAATAATTTTAACATCACCAGGTGAATTGTTCATGCACTCAGGAGGTGCTAAACTTTAAAAGCCGAAGATAACAGAATTCTAAAAAGTGTAGTCAAAATGTTGCATGGATTGCAGTAATCGGTGGTTACGGGTTTGGTTTCATTGCTGACGTACTTTACAACCAAATAAAATCTTGTCAGTGGCTATGTTAATTCCCATGAAAGTTAAGCAAGATGCTATTAATAACTGTTCTCTTTCTTGCCCTGCCCCCCCCAGCTTGAATTTTTGTTGAATACATTCAGGTAGAGCATAAAGCTTTGTTAAAACACTGCTCCTCAGTTTTCTGCCTTCCGTGTTTTTCAAAGTCCTTTTGTAATTTTTTTTTTTCAATTTTTAAAGGCTTAGACAGTGTTTTTATGACATTGATTTTTTTTTGCTGTTTTATAATTTACCCTTTATTATTCAGAAGCATGCTTAGAGAAACTACATGGTCTTTATAAAAGAAGCTATTTTAAAAGAAATCAGGGGAGGAAAGGTATTTGCTCTCTTAAAGGCGTCACCTTGTGGCGAGAGGGGAGGGAGCTCTTTCTAAATATCGTCATGATCCCACGCTTTCAGCAGAGTTGCTTTCCCTTATTAGCTGCCTTTTCAGTGCACACGAGACAGTCCGTGTGATTCCCACATTAGCACAGGTGTGGACTGCATGCTTCGTTACCTGCAGGGTAGTAACCCAGTGATGTTTTTTGCAGAAGTACAGTATGTTGAGAATCCTGGGTGTGACCAATATGGATTAAAGAAGAAGGCAGAAAGAGAGTAAATGAAAAAACTGCAACTTGTATATTTTTTTTTCTACATTTTGCTTTGACTTTTAAATTTAGGAAGTCCGTTTTTACCCAAGAACAAAGTTTAAGTTCCTGTGTTGGTCTCCGCAGTCACACACCTCCTTCCTACCCTGTAGCTCCTTCTGCTCGGAAGGCTGATTTTTTTAAGACAATGAAATATTTACTCTTATTAGGTGTTTATTTAAAATGTGTAATGCTTTGAAAATAATGGGTAACAGATAAGTAAAGGATGTTTATAAAGTGAGCATGTTGGTTCCATTTATAAATATATATATGATTTATAAGCTTTTTTAAAACAAAGCTCAAATTGTTGGTATTTTTCTAAAATGTGCACAGCTGTATTTTACATGAAGGCTCTTTCTAATGGGTTGTTATACTGTACTCTACATTTTGGACAGCACATGAAGTCTGCCAATGTACTTAATAAAATATGACTTTGTTTATTTAAAGTTTCTTGCTGTGAAAAAAGAACTCCCTACCTGTGAGTTCCTTTATTTATAATCCTTAAAACCAAAATGTATAATGTACAGTTTTCACAACTGTATCTGCTCTAATAAAAAGTTGGTTATTAATAAATTTGGAGGTGTGTTTCCTTTGTGAGTAAATTATTGTCTGAGGTGTATGGAATGTTGATGATGATGATGATGATGATGATGATGATGATGATGGAGAAGCAGAAGAAGAAGTGGGTGAGATGGCTCAGCAGGCAGAGGAACTCGCTGCCAAGGCTATGACCTGGGACCCACATGATGGAGGAAAGAATGGACTCCCAAAAGTTATCATCTGACTTCCACACATATACCAGGACATGTGTGTGCCCTTAACACATACACACACAAATCAATGTAGGAAAAAAATTAGAGATCTGCTGAAAAATTAGTAATAGAAGTGGTGGGTAAAATGCCTGAGGCAGCACAACAGAAGGTAGACACAGTGCCCTATACTTTCTATATCTCTTTTATCCTGAGGCTCTCAAATCATTTTGTAAAATAAGATTCACTGCTCTGTGTAAAGTCTTTCTTAATTAGATTAAGTCCTTATCCGTGATCTGAAGCCTGCTCCCTTTTTTCAGGAAAACTCAAAAGCTGAAGTAAATCTCCTGCTTGCATGGATACTTTCCAGTTAGATTTTGACTGTTGTACCCCAAATAAATGAGTATATTTCTGTGGTCCCTACTGCTTCGGTGCACCCCTGGAAGGTCAGAAGCAGTGAATAACTTGCAGCCACCAGGCCTTCCAGTCGTGATATTCCTTTAGAATCCCTCCTAGGTACTCCTAGGCAAGCCTGTGCAATATAGCAAAGGACCTTTGCCAACATAGCCTCTCTGGGAGCTTCCAGGGGGCCTTCAAATCCCCAAGTTCAACCCTCCTATGAAGACCCTCACATAAGTAATGCACAAAGTTCTCTCCTCCAGGTTGATTTATCAATGGAGACCATCAGTCTCCTTTAGTCAGTCGTAAAGGAAGAGTTCAGAACAGACTTGAAGCATGCAGGGAATGTACAGGTGCCTGAGAAATTATTGATCCCATATACATGTACAAAGCACACATGAGAGCCACAGCCAAAGAGGAGGTAAAGTTGTGTGGTTTGGAAACCTGAGAAATGTTATACATGCACTTTTATTGCAGTAACTATTTCCCAAGAGTGCTGTCAAGCAGGCTTCCCAGGCATAGATATTCAGTGCCATTTACAGTTCTACTCCCATGCCTAGAAAGCCATGTACCTTCGTCTTTCCAGACTGTACATGTGGCATAGTCTACCTTAAAGTGTAACATTTCAGCAGACTGATTATCTCAGGTTGAGAATCACCTGTGTCCAACAGTTCCCTCAACCCAAAGGCATGGAAAAGCAGTTCAGTAGTCTAGAATAACCTCTATAAAGACCAGGTTTACAGAAGTGGGAGAAAATAACAGATGTATAAAACACAGTGAATACTCATGAATGCTGTAAATATGGATGGCGTTCTGACCGTGGACTTCACTAATTGTGGGTTCCTCTCTGATTCATGCCTGCTCTCCTCCTCTGTAAAGTGGGTGTAATCAGCACTGGCCTCACAGGGTAGCCATGAGGATAAACTGACCTTATTTTTTGTAAGTACTCAGTAGTACTGTGCAAGGTATATAGTAATTGTTTTATATATGTTATACTTTCCTAATTAGAACAACTAGGAAAATGATCATATCCCTACTAGTGTCTCACACACATACAAAATTGCAGTGAGATCCCAACCTTCAGGCCTCCTTACAGACATGAATTAATGTTATCAGTTCTGTGAATCTGTTCTAGAGTGAATCTTTCTTATTGAAAGTCAAAGGCCATACCTAGAGTTCCTTTTCTGATATTACACATATTTTTCAATGTAAGAGAATATGAGATAGTTGCCTTAGAACAAACCTTCCAATCAGTGCCTCATAGATTCTTAACAGAATTCCTGTGAGAATGTTCCTTGTAAAGTTAAATGATTGGCCCAAGATCTCAGTGTGTGATACTATGCTAGCAAATGCCAGAAAGCTAAAAAGTCTGTATTGGAGTCCCAGATCTGACTAAATCTTGCATCCTTTCATTTCATATATTGGCTAATATTATTCCACATCAACCCATCAGCTACAAAAATGTGCAAATACCATGAACTCCAAGGTGACAGCATAGCCAAATGAACCCATTTCCATATCTACCATTAAGCTCGGCTGGATTGGTAGAATAGAATGCAGCAGTCTATTAAATGTTTTGAGAAGCATGTAATTACAGTCCTACAGTTACAAGTAAGGTACTATATATGATATCTATGTATACTTGAACCTTATAAGTACTAAATATTACTAAAAGTTTGACATTTACATGTTACCTTGGTGTTTTAGAATGAGAGGCATGTTGTAAATCCTGCTGTATGTTCAAACTTGATCTCATAATTACACTGAAATTGTACAGTAATGCCTAGAAGACCTAAAAAGGTTTGGACCAATTCTTTGATGTTTTTCTACTCAGTATTCCACAGAACTTTCTGGGCATTTTCTTGCAAACAAGTCTGATTAGATGAACTGTTAGTGGGATTAACATGAAAGTGAAGACCTGGGATATATTCAGCTGGTGACTGATAAAGTTGTTCACTTACTTTGTAAGTGAAGCCAGAAAGAAATCAGTAGGAAAAGGTCACACTGTCCATATCCAAGTCTTTCCTTGTCCTAAACAAACTTGCTGGTAAAATGTCAAGAATATTGAACATTCAGTAGAATTCATACTGCCATTTCTCCTAGGGAAAGCAATGGGGTCTTGTTTCAGAACTGTGTAAGTCACACCCTTGTCATTTGTGGCACACAGTAGGAAGAAAAGGTCAGATACAGGTATACCACCCTGTGTGATCAAGGCAGTCACAAAGGGAAGAGAGGCCAAAAGTCATCTAATTTTCTCAGCTTCTATGCATGTTTGGACAATTGAATCCACCTAGTAGAGCAAGCACCTGAAGATCACATAGCTGCTTCTAAAGTTGATAAAAGGTCAAGACCAAAGAACTACCAGTAACATGTAAAAGCAGCTTTACCTCCTGTAGTCTTGGCACTCAAGGAGGTAAAACAGGAGACAGAGTTCAAGACCAGCCTGCGCTGTATATTGAGATCCTGTCTCAAACAAAAATTTAATAAATAAGTAAAATAGCTTTACAACACACCATTGGATCAAATAAAAAGTTACTAGAGATTAGAAATACTCAAATCTATCAATTATTTAAAAGGATACATCACTTAAGTGCATTGTTCATCACTGAAAGAATCTGCTAAGTAATCAAACGATATCATTAAAGATATTTATGTACATGACACAAGGTTCGATATTACTCTGTTGTGATACACATTATATAAAGGATTCAGCAAATGCTTCAATCTACATTGCTTTCCCTGGTATTTCCTAATTTTGTGGATTAATTTTCTTCCATTAAAATTTCTTTGCATAGAAATATCTTCTCGGGGCTGGAGAGATGATTCAGCGGTTAAGAGCACTGACTGCTCTTGCAGAGGACCTGGGTTCAATTCCCAGCACCCACATGGCGGCTACGAACCGTCCTTAACTCCAGTTCCAGGGGAATCTGAAGCCCTCTTCTCACTTCCGTGGCATTGCACGACACGGGTGCACTCACATACATGCAGGCAATACACTCATACACATAAAATAATAAAATATTTTTTAATCTCATGTTTTCTGATAATCATGTCCATTGTTTTCTTTATAAATTTGTATTACTAATCTAAAATATGCCAGCAGACCATGCTTTGGAGTTTTCATTGGCTTGCTCAAACTACTAACAATTCACCTATTTTTGTGTTGACGTTCAAAGAATACCTCTGATCAAGGAAGCACTCTAAACTTCTTGCTACTCTGTCCAAGTTTTCAGGAGTTGTTACACTGTCGTGTGCTCAGTACAAACCTATGAAACCTGAGTTCTGCATTGTACCTAACCACAGCCCACTATGTGTCTCCCCAGACCAGTGGCATGGTTCCACACACAATTCCCCAATGTCGTTTGACAGATAGATCAGATAAATGAGAATATATTACTTTAAATAAATAAGTAGAAGTTGGGCTAAGGAGGTGGCTCAGTGGGTAAAGTACTTGCCACACAAGTGTGAGAACCTGAGATCAGCTCCCCAGCACCTATATAAAAAGCTGGACATACCATCACTCTTGAGTCCAGCCTTGGTGGACAAAAGAAAAATGAGGAACCCAATAGAGGGATGCTTTTGGAAGCTCTCAAGAAATTAAAATGGACTCTGATATGAACATTTGAAAATTGCCCTGTTCTGACTTTTTTCTGGTTCCCTGTCTAGAACTTTTGTAATGCTAATTACTCTTGCCTTTATGTCTCCTTTATATCTCCTAGACACCAGTCAAGGACTTTCTTTTCCCCCTATAGTTCAGAGTTATGCAATTTGGGAGTCTTTTAGATAGACCCACTGAAGGGGTACCCCAATTGCCTCATGCTGCGTTCAACATGGAAGAAGCCAGAGTGGTCTGTATCCTGATTCCCTATCAGCAATTTGGGTAACCTCTTCAGGGGATGGTGTGATAAGAATAGGAGGCAGTCTCTTTAATTTCTTGTTCATTAATTTTTAACTAACTTCATAAAAGAATAAGAATAAAAAAAAATGTGATTTATTTTAGAAAAAGTTACCTGGACTGCTGAAAAGAATGTATATTCCACAGCTGTTGGATGAAATATGCTATAAACATTTATTAAATCGACAAGAGTTATGCAATTTGGGTGCCTTTAGATAGACACACTGAAGGGGTACTCCAGTTGCCTCACCCTGCATCCCTGTTCTGCATGGAAAAAGCCAGAGGGGTCTGCGTCCCAATTCCCTACTGGCAATTTGAGTAACCTCTTCAGAGGATAGTGTGATAAGAATAGGACGTAGGAATTGGCTAGGCAGTTAGGGTTAAAAGACCCCAAAGAAAAGTATCCAGTTTCTTGGCTAAAAATCAAAATGTCCTTGGGCCTCTTAGCAACGTACTCTGTTCCAAAGGCCAAAAATTCAAAAGTATTTGGGAGCTCTTATCAAATCCCTAAAATATTTTACAGTTA